TTTTCTAGTACTAGCATTATTGACAGCTCCCGAAACTGGTCTATCCTATTGTTTAAAGAAGCGTTCGCTATACGTAGACTACACCCTTTGCTTAACAATGGGCTCAGAGCTTCAAAAGAGCTTTCTTTTTTTTGTAGGTATCTTTGATCATTAGAGTAAGAATGCTTTGATCTTTTGTTTAAATTACTGCTATGTCACCTACTAGAGGTAATGTTTTGATTGGTTAAACACTTTTGGTACTAGTGCATATAAGCTTCCTAATATGGAAAGCTTGCTAATATGGATAATTTTTCATTCCTGATGATGACATAATTAATGTCAAAATATTGAATCCCAACACGATGGCGTGTATTTCAATACTTGGAGTATGTATTATACTTTCTTGACATAAAAAAGGCGTCTGAAAAATGAATTGATTATATTTTGCTGTTGATAGATATATGGACCTTCCAAAGCAAAAATTTGATGCTCAGATATCTCAAAATCTAAGCTACAGCTGGGAAAAGCTATTGTTTTTGTTGTAATTTTTTCCCCTTTTTTCTTGCATACTGTACTTTTTTCTATCTTTTTGCACTTGTTTTTTTATGGCCAGCACTTTGGTCACTAGTTCCCATGCTTAGAAATTTTCCATGCTTTGCCGAAGCATAGACCATCAAAGATGTCATGCCTCCTAATATTTAGTGTCAATCTAGGTTGGGGTGTTCGTGTGAGGACCAATAAAAGTGATTTATGGGCAAACAATCTACACCAGATATTTCAAAAACGGGTCAATTGATCTGAAGCAATTTTTTGAAACAGTTTTTATCAGAAATTTGTCAACTTGGCCACAATGTTCCTTTACCAAAGATCTGGAAGCAACTAAATTTTGAAGGGTCAGGGTCAAAGGTCAAGGACACAATGATCAAAAACCTTGTATAACTGTTTGCCGTATAGACGTGTGTGATGTGTGCTAATACGGGCTTGCCGGTAAAGTGTAATTTCAAAGTGATATACAGTAATGTGAAAACAGCCCTGGGTTCAAATCCCAAGGATTCTGCTTGTGTTGTATTATTTTTTTTTTTAATAAGGACAATATGCAGATTTTTTTTTGTTTATTTTTATGGGGACAATATCAGGGTTCAATAATGCTAGAATGATATTAATTTATTATACTTAATAATATTTTTACGTACTGTCCTATTTTTAATTTCATGCTTCAAATGTTTTTTCCATATTTTTTCAAAATTTCAATAAATGTCATGTGAAGCGTGATTGTTGGTGTCAGCCCTAAGACCCTAGCTGGGGGCCTAGTCTTGGGAGGAGCCTAGGTAACTAAGTCTGTAGTTAGGTCTAGGTTTACCTCTTTTTTCCTACTGGTACTACACTTTATAGAAGGGGATATTAGCTGTTGTTGTTGTAGAGTAAATTATTGTAAACTATTATAAGCAATTAGTAGAGCTCCGCATAGTACACTATAGGAAAATTATTACACGAAGTTTAGATTTAATGCTTGAAAAAATTTCCTGAGTGCCTGCAAGGCCTGAAGGAAATTTTTGAATGCATTAAATCTAACCTAAGTATAATAATTTTCGCCGTCTTTTAATGTTAGTTTTTATAACCAACTGTGTTGTACCATTCATCGGTTGCTATAGTGATATAATCGTATACTGTGTGCGTATTTACATTTTGTGCGTATGCTGATTTGTGCTCCTGCAAGTAGACAGTGCCTACGCGTTAACTACACATCAGCAGTACTGTACGGATACGATGAATAACTAGGCCTAGGGTATTTTGTAATTTGTATTGTGAGAAGCTGTAATTTTTCACATTCGTCAAAGAAATAAATATTTTTCAAGCATTCGAGAGAATACAGTCACTGTCACTAACTTTTTGGTAAAAATCTTGGGATGATTTCATAACTATGCTACTACGGCCTAGGCTAGTAGTAGGAGGAGGACTCGGCGGCTCTACATTTTTCGTTCTTCGAGTCTTTAAATAGGCCTAGAATATTCCTATTATAGGTTCAGTTTGTTTAGATTATTAGGGTTCATTGATTCAAGGAATTGCTAAATTGTTCATACTTAATATTGAATTTAAAGTAATTACTTTCGTCTACTTCAATTAACTTTGTTTTACGAAAGTAATTTTTAATTACAATTCAATTTTTATTGCGGTGCACGATGTCTTCACGGTGACGAAAAAATTAGGCTTTTTTTTTTTCCTATTCCGTGGGGAATAGGCAAATAACATTGCCAGTTGCAGTGAATGATGACTTCACGATTGACTTATAACAATTAATAACATTACAAGAACCTCGCAGTTAGTTACAGACGTAAACATCCCATAAATCAATAGGATTTCATAGGCCTACTCGAGCGTCACGACATTGCAAAGTCAATCCAAAACGGTCCGTGTGGAGTTTCATGCAAATGTTTCATATGGGGAAAAAAATGGTGTTGGGGACAATCCAGTTTAGGGTGTAAATTTGAGGGTCATTTAAGTTTGTGAGGTCCCAGACCTAAATATCTTTTTAAAACAATCAATGGGTATGATTGAAACTTTGTATAAGAGCGTGTCAAGGTCTAGTAAAGAAATGAATAAATGTTTGTGGCAATCAAGAGTAGGGTGTGGATATGAGGACCATTAAAATGAAAACATCGCACACCACAGAGTACACAGTACTTCTAAGACAGATCAACTGATCTGAATGAAACTTTCGGGAAAGTTTAACCAAGTTACAAGGAGGAAATTGTTATGTGTTGGGGACAATCCAGTTGAGGGTCATTCGAATTCTGATGTCCAAGACCTAAATATCTTTAATGGGTCTAAATGAAACTTATATTTTGTCAAGGTCAATACTTATTAGAAAATCATTTTATATGGTTTTGTTCATTGCTTTGTCATATTAATGACATAAATGAAATAATATTATTATTTTGGTCTCTTCAATTATATTATCCAGTTAATTATATTAATTTTCAATTAAAACCTTATTCCATGAAAACTTTTAAAATTTATTTTAATTTATTTTAAAACAACTTAATTAGGGTTTTTGTGTTGTAATATTAAAATTAATAATGTTTAATCTTACTGTTGAACCAGGTTGAATGTTATCCTACAAAGCATTTTACAGCGGACATGAAATTCTTAATAAGAACAAGTTTTTTCACTCACCATTCAGCAGAATTAATGAGCACAAAACAAGAAAGCAACATTATAGTCATCGAGCTGAGGAGGATGAGTCCATTGGTTTGTTGAGATCTTCAGAAGTGCATTTTGCAATGTTCAGCCTTCTACAGAATTTTTACTGAAATAAAATACATACATTCATCAAATAACTAGAATTAGAAAGAATGCAACATTAATATCTACGTGTATATTAATTTAAATTTACAAACAGTGAATATAAATTGTAATTCTAGAATAATTGTCTATAGCCAATAAAACATTATTTTATTATTATTACTATCATCTTTATCACTTAAATTTCAAAATTAGGTCAAATTATGAAATTTTAATGTTAATAATTAATCATTATTTTAAGAACAAAAATTATATAAATTTGTATTTTATATTAATATTTTAATATACAAACACTTAAAATTATTTTTACAATTCAGCTCTGGCTGAACCTAAATAATGTCATGTATGTTTGATGTTTGTTTTTTTTAAATAAAAATACCGTTTATATCTGTACATATTTACTGCCAAAAACTGGCGGGGCCCACCCCCTTTGGTTTCACCGAACATGTATTATGCCGAAGTTCAGATTCTGCGCACCTACTTTTCTATATTTGAGCTACTTTTTGATATCATCTCTGCAGGCCCGTACGCAGGGGGTATGACGCGTGCATACCCCCACCACCAAATTACCAAAGGTCCACATTTCCAGGGTAGAAATTTCAAAAATCACCCCCTAAATTTTTCAACATCATTTAAAATAAGAAAAGAAATTCCATAATCATAAATTTTCTTTCCTCAGCCCCAACCATGGTGGGGCTGAGGTGTTATAGATCCTTAACACTTAAATTTCAACATTAGGTCAAACCATGGTGGGGCTGAGGTGGTAGTACTGCATTTCATCCATCCATGAAAGTCCCTCCCTGGCCCTACAATAGATCCGCCACTGAAAACCGTAGTACATGCATCTTCAGAAATTGATTTAATAAGACCTCAAATTATCAAAAATGCCTGAGCTCCGCCACCTCAATCTCAGCAGCGTTTTCCCCTAGGCGCCCCCTCCCCACACCTGTATAATGTTATATAAGAACATGAAATTTTATAAAATTCGTAAATTTTCTATTGCTATAACTTTTCATTGATAGTCAAAATTCATGAATCAAATTGCAGTTTATAGAAGCATTTAACAAGCTCATCGTCAAAAGAAATCAGATGTAACAGACATTGCGAAGTACCCAAAATTAATAAAATAATAACTAACACCATAAAACGTATGGCACGCACAGACTAATAATTGACGGCTGTACTCGCAACTAGTATCGGATTGTTGATGCCACAGTAAAGATCAAAGGACTGTACACATGCGCTATGTTCGAGAGCGGAGATGTGCGTCCTTTTGTTGAAATGCCTTGGTTGAGAGCAGTATATATAGGAATGACTATTTAGAAATTTATCAATACCGTAAATTAAGAGTGTAGGCTCCCATATATAGTTGCCAACTTATACGGATTGACCGTGAGACTCGCAGATAATTTATCATTTACCAGTTTTAATACGGATGAACAAAAACTCAGATTTTTAAACTAATAAACAATGATTTGCGAACTGCATATTTACAGTAATATGCAATGAATAGGCCGAGATCATTTGCCATTCGTCTGTAGTGTTTATAGTGTAGCAAAGAAGAGTAACCATAGGCTATGTGCAAGCCCAGTACGCTCGATGTTAGAATCGTAAATAAATGACGCCCTTCACGCCCGCTACCGTCAGTGTGCTTTTATCACCCAGTAATGCAACGCGCATAGTTTGTTTGTTTGTTTATCTGCTTTGCACACGAAAGTACTCTCTGTACATCGTAATTCATGAATAAAGTGAGTCCGTAAAAATTGTTTTAATTTTACACCAAGCAACTGTCGGTACTTATCCTAAGTTTACAGTACTGTACTTCGGTCAAATTTAAATTTGAGTGTAACTTTTTGGTTTATTAAGTTTACATACATACACTTGACTTAATTTAGTGTCCAAGATCAATCAAATCAGTAGTGTAGTGAAAATGCTCAGATTGCGCGAGCGTCAAAGGCTTGTCAACCTGGGCCCCCAGCCAGTGGCACGTTGCTACGCAACGCGAGTTCTCACAGATTTCTTTTATGAAAAGTTGGCAACTATGCACATACATGATACTTTTTTTTATTCATAAATTAAAAAGTGTCCAATGGAATATTAGTGTCTACCTCAGTCATGCCATATGTCTAGTGCAAGAACGACACTGAAGTTAGGGTTGGCCCTTGGCCCTAAGTTGGCCAGGTTTAGGTCTACCTCGCAGCGGAACATCCAAGCCTTGACCTAGGCCTATACATGATGTAGAGAGTAGAAGAAATAGCCTAGAGAGTTAGAGTCCGCTCGATCTGAAGCCGCAACGAGTTGATTTAGTTTCTGAACCACTCTGCCAAGGATTTTTATGACCTATTTTCCTGATACTTTTAGCACATAACAAATGAGTACTTACCAGAGAAAAAATTACGTGCTACAAACAATCATTTGGAAATACATTTACGTTACTAAAATAGCAACGCCAGGTGCTGCAAAGTCTCTTCTTCCACGTTATTGCAGGGTAGGCTACAAGCTCATGCATATGTATTAGGTGTTACGCCACCAATTTAGTTTTAGAAGTGATTCGAAATAACTTTTGTTGCAGTGGCAGGCGCGGATCCAGCGGGGGGGGGGGGAATGAGGGCCGTCCCCCCCCCCCCCGTCGGTCAAGTCGAAGAATAAAAAGAGGGAGAAAAATTTGAGTTAAAGAGAGGAAAGGGGAAAAATGCAGTACTTGTACTTGTACTTGTGAGTCGGGAATAACGGTCAAAGCAGCGATCAGTCATTTAGTGTGAAAACGGGCCTATATAGTACTGTAGCGCATTATTATACTGGCATATTAAACCTACAGTATTTATTCATGACGCAACAAACCCAATTTGAATAGTAGAGCAGACCAATACCAATAAGCAGCATACCGTAAAATGCTCGAATAAGCGCCGCGGTGCTTATTCGAGTGAATAAGCGCCTGTATGCAATGAATTACAGGGGTGGCGCCAGGATTTGCCCGACTGGGGGGGCCGAGGTCCCCGACGATTGGTCCGATTTTCCCCGACGAAACTAAAGTGGACGTGGTCGATCGTCGTTTAAAATGCTTAATAAGTGATCTAAGGGGGCGAATCCCCCGAAAATTTTAGCAATTTAGTGGTTTTAAAGGCTTATTTAGTCGACTTTAGAGTCACATAATATGTAAAAAATAAATTTAATTATGTTTTTCTCCCCGACGAATATCAATTTTTTCCCCGACGGGGGGCCCTGACCCCCCCACCCGGCCCTCTCCCTGGCGCCACCCCTGAATAATTATCTCGTCATTTTACAGCATATGGGCCTGATTTTTATTCATCCAATTTTCTAAGGCAAAAAATGTTTTTCTCTTTGGTTTTAATAATGATATCTAAATTCCACAACGTCAAATCATCCGATTTATTTTTCGCATGAATGTTTTTGCAATGTAACAAAAATTTCTTAAAAATGTTTAATTTTGAATTTTAATATTCTCACCTGTTATTCTTAATCCTTCAAGCGTTTCTTGGCTGAGTTGCATTTTCTTTTTTGCTGAACTTGTGACATTTTCCATGCTGTCAACCTGAGCCTTCCATTCATCAAAAAAACCTAGGAAATCTTCCTTGAGCCACTGTAAAAGAAAAATTCAATTCAGTTAATTTTTAAACTAAACATGGACATCTTTGAACATATGCTCTGTGCATTACTTAGTTATGTACCAGTGTGAATACATACTGTAAACCGCCAGTCATCAGAACTCCTGTACTCTTTCAGTGCCTCTTTTCTGCTGTGGATTCCCTTATAACAGTTCGACACATTTAAGCAATCAAAAAATTGGTCAAACATTCGAAATATATATATATACTGTTGCTTCATTTTGAATATATAGGCCTATATATATAGGCCTACATATATATATATATATATTATATGATATATATAATATATATATATATATATATATAATATAAATCATCAAAGGTACATATACAGTGTTTAATAAGGACATGATGGAACATCGTAGGCTACCCTGTAGCTTTTCAACGAATAAAGTCCTATAAAAAGTCATTGTGTAATAAAATTCCTCCGACGGGATTCGCACCTGTGACCTCTCGCTGACAAGGAGAGCGTCATAACCACTAGACCACAAAGGCTTCATGGTTGAACAGGTCCAAATAACCGTCGGGAACATTGTATTACACAATGGTACTCCTCAAGATGGCTTTATATATACCCTTTTAGTTTATCCTAGAATGTAAGCGGATGATGGATGATGTTCAGAGGCTCTCTTAAATAAGTAAAAATATGTGATGCTATATAAAGTAATGTCGTTACAAGGGTGGAGATGTTTGTTTGCCTGAGAAAAATCATAAGTTATCATTAAACCCAGGAACCTGAGATTGGAATATAAACATCTCAACCACCAAGCTACACTACAATAAGGTTGACTTCATTGTCCTAATCTAGTCCATACATCCAATCAGAATGTCCTTTCCGCTAAGCCCCACCCCTTGGATATTGTTGCTAAGGTCCCACAAAACGACAAAACATACGCAAACACGTGCGTTTGTGCGGGACAACGCGTGTGTTTGTTGGACACGCGCGTATTCCTGGCACTGTTCTGATTGGTAAATTCTTAAGTTTGATTGACACCACGGAAAGTCCATTAGGAATTGGATTAAGATTGGTGTAACAATAGCTACTGCCTTTTAAATAGGTAATTCTTCCTTTACATTTTGTTTATCAACATATCTTAAAATCCTATGATTACTCCTATATTTCGCTCCGGTTTGCAACTGATTTCGCTTGTTCCATTACTAGAAGTATGTGGTTACAGAATTCTCTAGCTGCACCTCGTCCACCATCAAGACTTGCGACAAACGTGGACACAACTTGGACATCGTGCTGCGCGTCCTTAGGGGATCCTCCAATCCCTGCCAGCTTAACACATTCCAAATCGGGTATATCATTACCTGCGAATAGATAACATGCAATTTACACATTTAAAAAACAGTATTATTTAGAAGTATTTATATAACGGTTTAAAGAATGAAAGGGAACTTTCGATCTGCGGGGCAACGTGAAGAAGAATGGATTTACTAACTTTGTCGTCGTAAAATTGAAAGTTCCCTTAAGTCGACAGTGGCGTATATAGGGGTGCACTACGGGGCGCTTCCATCTCCAAAAAGAGTTGCCCTCTTCCCCTTCCCCCTGTTCCCACACGTCCAATGAATATTTACAGAGAAAGTGGTTAAAAAGTCTCACACCACCATATCTCACCAGCTAGAGCCACTTGATCACATCGAGCCACTAGATTCAGATTTATTTATCAATCATATAATAAATACATCAAATTTCCTTTCCTCAGTTGTAATACACACATAAAAATTCATTAAAATATTAAGTACATAATATCCTTTAAAAACATTCCATAAAAAAAAAACCAGATATCACAGAGATTTTGCATACTGCATGAAAACTACATAGTATACATAGGCCTAAATAAATAAGCATTTCAGTATCCCTAGATACGCCATTGTAAGTCGATCATTGTAATTATAAAAATCCTTACCCATATATGCTACTTGGGTCATATCTAGTTCCATTTCATTCCTCCATTTCACCAACTGAGCTAATTTGTTGTCGCAACCCATTATTAAATCCACTCCTAATTTATCTGCAAATTTCTGGTGAAGATCATTCGTTTCGGCTAGAAAAGGAAATATTAAAAACCACAATCAACTCTATGGTTATTATTGTTAGTCGCATGAGTTTTTCTTTTTTTTTTTTTTTTTTAATATGCTGAAGTTACAATGGGCTTTATAAATCAAACAGAAGTTCGGAATTAAGAACAATAATTTTTAAAGGGTGTGGAAGTATAATACATATTCCAAGCATTGAAATGCACGCCATCGTGTTGGGATTCGATATTTCAACTTCAATTATGTCATCATGAGGAACAATTTAATGTAAAAGGTGTGTTCACAAAAGGTGTGTTCACAAAAGTTTGTATGCACTATTGAGAACGCCTGTTGGATATGAAAAGCCAAGTCACTTTAAGGGAAAAACTGAGGTCCAAGAAAAAGATAATCTTCCGTCGTATAAACATGCCTTATGAGGCTTAGGAAGTTGAGTTGTTTTGGTCGTCGTGAGAAACAATCCTTGGGATTGGAAGGAAAGAATATGATTGTATTTGCAGGGAACAGTTAATTTAACTGTTCCCTGGTATTTGAGCTTATTTAAAAACGGTCTGTCGTCATCTAAATAAATTTAGATTTTAATAAATTTAATATTTTCTATTTCTCATTAGATACTTACATGCAATAAACTTCACTGTCACTCCGTTTGCCTTGAGCATCTTTATTCCTACACCATCATTTTGGTTATATGTTGTAAACTGGCCCATTTCTAGTAGAAAAGAAATAAAAATACGTATATTTAATATAAACATAATATTATTATCATTGGCTTGATAAGAAAGATAATGATGATGATGTTGGTGAAACAAAATAAAAATATAGAATAAAGTAAAAAGTCATTTAAAAAAAATATGATATATAAAATGGCAAACATGATTTAAAAACATATTATCTAAACCCCATAATGAAATTAACGAACGGGACCGAAAAAGGGCCCCAGTCTCAGAAAACCACTGGGCCCCATGCCCTTGTGTTACGCCACAGAACAAGATGTAATATTTTTTTTAAGGCCACAACTATCATAAAATATAAAAATTAATGTAATACGAATGGTCAACAGTACAAACATCACAAAACTTACAAACGTATCAAGTACCTCAAAAATCGAAAATCAGTTTAAAAATTAAAAAAAAATTAAAATTACCTTCAGTAATATACATTAAACTGTCGGTCAAAACACCGTCTACCCCAAAGACGACCAGCTTGACCCCCTGCGGTTTGGTCTTTCCAAAGTAGCCAAATTTTATAACGCGCTGTTCTGCTATTGGCCAATCGATGTCTGTATCAATATCAACACTGTACTCTGCACCCATTTCAAAATACCCAACCCTTTGAAAATAAAAGAATAAGGTTGTGATTCTCTAAAATAACTGCTTATAGCCCTGTCCAAACTATCAGGTTTTATTTGACAAGACCATGTAACATGTCTACAGAGCAGGAAAATAGCACAAGTAAAAATTACGGTAATAATCCTAGACCACAACTCAAATTTCAAAAAATAAACATGGCTCCACATTTCACATTGGATAAGTTAATACCGTATACTGTTTAAATGTGCTCTATGGGCCTTTCTGTTCCCCGACCCTAGGACATTAGAGAAATTTCGCAACCTTAACGATAACGAATACGTCATTATCATTATCGTCATTAAGACATTCTTGATAATATGCCGTACTAGCTGAATATGATCCCTCATTCATGCAAAAAGACATGAATCGCCTACGTTGTGACGACAGATAATGCTACTGTAGGGCAAGGGTTGGCTAAAATTTGATGACGTAACCGTATTCGTTATTGTTTTCGTAAGCTTGCGAAAATACCATATTGCTAAGGTCCGCCAGCCAAAAGGACAACGTAAACGCACGTATACACTTCCGTTTTTGTGGGAAAAGCGGGTACTATTCTGATTGGTTGGTTGTTAACATTCTTGGTTGGATTGGACTAGTCGTAGCACCATGTGTACGATGTAGTATCGTAAGATCATACGCGTAAAGCCTGTTTCGCAAATCAATTTCAACAAAAGAAGGGTTTTACTTTAATCAAACAACTAAAGATAAGTGATATGGATGTAGAATCAATATTGCAACATAATACATCATATGACAATGCGTTCATTCATAGACTGTGCCTAAAGCTATATTTATTAGGCCCAGGTGTGTGCATCGGGCGTAAACATCAGACAACATAAAATCTATTACCTTCCACCCTGGAATAAGCCCTGCAATAGCAGCGATTTGCGTGTGAAATAAAATGCTCCAGACTCAACCAGTTCTCCGCTCCAGTCTTGTCTTCGGGGGCGACGTGCGGCATCCAGGTTCAAAGGTGTTGAACTTCCGCCTATAAGTAAATTTTAGAAAATTAATTACAGTATATCTGTCTGTGCCGATGGGCACACACACACTGCATCGGTCGACAAATCCATCTCCGCTATGAGCGGTTGACGACGCGACGACGTCTGCTGTTGGAAGCATTCTGAGAGGATGGTCGTCATCATCATGGCGTTGCGATCCATGAATCGTGTATCGTAGGCCGACGCAATCAGAGCACGCCATTAAAAAAAAAGAATGTCTTTTTGTTTGTTTGTTTGGTTTTTTTTTTTTTTTTGGGGGGGGGAGGTTAGAATTGGTATGTCTTCGTAAGCCTAGGCCTACTCATCGCAACGCAGTAGGCCTATGTTATAACTTAATAAGGTCTCCTAATTAAGATAAGCTTCACTGTCGATTCTAGCACATTTTACATTACCTTCCGATTTCACCTCTTCCCATCTGAATTTATGCTGCCGAGTGACGGCAAATACAGAATCGTAGCCTCCGTGACGAATCATATGAGCAGGACCTTGGAAGTGCCACGGATGTAGGCACGGAGACGTGCATTGAACCAAAGTCAAAATGTCCACTTCTGAAATTCAATTAAAAAATAAAATGTTACAGTATAGTTCTTTTTGTATACTACGTGTGTAGGGACGGAAGACAGCAATCATACACCTGTTTTATTTGTATTTATTGTATTAGGAGGCCCGTAGCCAGGTTCTTCCAAGAAGGGAGAGGGGGAGTGTTTCTGGGCGTGAGGTCCACAGTCGAAGCCCCGGTGGGGTCGGCGAAACCCCCAAAGCAAGAGGATTTTTGTGCTTTATGGGTCTAAATAATGCTATAAAAGTAGATAGGCCCCTATGTCTGTGTCTGGGTGGGTCTGCATTAGTTCGGGATGGAGGACTTAAAGAGGGGGTTTCGCCACAAAAGAGGGGATTTGCTAGAAAAGGGGGGTTCTCCCGAACCATAACCCCACCCCCCCCCCACTTGGATATGGGACTGATTAGTGTGCAGGCCCGTAGCCAGGTCATTTCAAGGGGTGTTCTCTGGGCGTGGGGTCCAGGGGACTGCCTAAGGGCCCCGGTGCCAGGGCAGTTTTTGTGATAATGTTATAAAAGCAGTTATGTTTTGAAAAAAAATATCTATGGTGGTAGGCCTAATATAATAAAATTGAAAAATATTTTCTGAGAATTGGCATGTTTTAATCACACCGAAAGACAAAAAAAGAAAAACAAAAAAAAAAACCTCATCGCATAATCAATATCAATATACTCAACACATTTATTATTATAAAACAAACAAGCTATTACTGTATATAGGCCTATAAAGGAATTTACAAAGAATTATGTACTTATTATTTATAATATATAAAGCATTTAAGAGGTTTTGTCTTGTTTTAACTTAAATAATGAATCTTCCAGTAGGCCTATATAAACAAATAAAGTTGCCTGTTACAAAATAAAGTAGGAGCTGAACTTCTTCTTGACTCTCATCTTGTACACTGAAAATAATAGTACTATTTTACCACATGGCTAAAAAAGCACAAATATCGTCATTATTACAACTGACAGGGCCATCGTTAAATTAAGTCAGAGCCCAAAATATAGCATCATATTGAATACGTCATCTGACATCATGAGCACCTAAACTTTAATTACAATTATTTGTTTACTAGGCCTAATTCGAAATTATTGTTTTAAGACTTTAACCTAATACATACTGATTAATAATAGCTGAGATTTGATGCACATTTCAGAATTAATAATCGT